CCATGGTTCTCCCCATAGTTGACATTAATCTCTGTGTTTGGGAGAAGGTGAAATGGGCACCTAAGGCTTTTGCCACCCATCACCACAAGGGGAGCAGGGCTCGGATGACGCCTCCCCATCTGGGGATCGGGAGAAGCCGGGAGAGAGGCAGGGCCATGGCGTGCCATCCCATGGCGGGCAGTGAACACAGGAACTTAGGAGTGGGGGTCTGGGTGTGGGTTGGACAGGTCTAGTTCAGACCTGGTCTGCTCCTTGGTGCCCTGTGAGCCTGGTGAAGGTGCCCTGGCATCCCCGTCTGTAAAAGGGAGTGATCTTGCCCTGCCTAGGAGGCTGTGCTGAGTGCAAGACCTGGCACCATCATCCTTATCACCACCTCCACCTTCACACCTGGCCTCTCCACACCTGCCCCCCTGCCCATTTCCAGCCGTCCTGTCACCAGGATCAGTGTTAAAGGGGCTCTCTCAAGCCTCCCACCCCTGTAATGCCCTGCTCTGGACTGCTGCTCTGGGAAAAGACCAGGCTTGGCAAAGGCAGCCTGAGACCATTGGCAGACCCTGGGCTAGCTGCTGTCTCTCTCAGGCCCTCGGTCTCCCTGTACTGATAATTCAGACCCACAAGCTTTCTCCAGCCCTAGTTCTAGAAGGCCCTGCAATCCTCCTGTCTCCCTCCACCCTGGTCCGGGCTCCCAGCCCCTGCAGCCCACACCAAGCAAGCATCTGATCTAGCCGCTCCACTGTGCCTGTTTACCCAACAAGCCAGTGACATGATCCAAAGCTCCCGGGGCTGTTGTGAAAACAGTGGCTCAGCCACCGCAAGCCTGCCCTCCTGGGCACCTTGGCAGGGACCTTCGAGGGACAGCCATCCCAACCCCATACCGAGGGCCTCTTGAACTTTCCCACCAAAGACCCGCCGAACCCCGTCCTCCCCAGCCCAGGCTTGCACGCTACCTCTTGACTCTCATGTCTCTGCTTTCAGCTCAGGTCCCACAAACTCCAGGCCTGCCTGTGGGCCCACCTGCCTCCCCAAGCTCACCATGCTCTAGAGACACTCAAATGCACTTGAGCCAGGCCTCCTCATGTCCTCCACGCAAGTGTCCCCTCATCTCCTAGCAGGGCCAGCACTGGCCCCATGACACCAGAGGAGGTGGGGGGTTCACCTTCCTCCCCACACAGCATCACCATCAGTTCTGTGCTGCATTCTACCCTGAAGTCATCTCTTCTGTCCACCGCTGTCCCCATCCTAGCACCCCATCACCTTCCCCAGGCTCTGTACCTGCTTGCTCTCCATCCTCTGCTCTGGCCCCACAGTCCTTGTGCCCCAGCAACTAAGGCAGATCTCGTCACTCCCTGCCCAAGTCCCTAATGGTTACCTTTTCCTTCCCAATAAGCCTAGGCGCCTCCCCCGGGCCTGACCCACCCTCCCTGACCTCCTCGGCCACTGCCTTCCCCTCACTCCTCTGCCCCAGGCCACAGTGACCCCTGTCAGTTCCCTGAACAGCCAAGTTCCTTCCCGCTTAGGAGTCTCCGCATTTGCTGTTCTGTCTTCCTGCCCCTCCTCTGAAACACACACTGGCTCCTTATCATTCAGGTCTCAAATGGACAACTCCTTGACCTTCCCATTTCACAGATGAGGCAGCTGAGGCTCAAAGCAGTCTAGTCCCTGGCTCAAGACTACACAGCCAGTAAATATCAAGTGAGAATTCGAACCCAGGTCTGTCTGGTGCTTGCAGAGGTCTTGCTCCTAAACCTTCAGGATATGCCCTCACTCAAAACTCCTAGCCCAGGCCCCTGCCAATCTCCAGCCCTCCCGTCTTCTGGGGCCGCCCCCCCCCCCACAATACCACTATCATTACCACACCAACACCCGAGGCCCCCAGCCTCTGGGCCCTGGAGAGCAAAGGGCTTCCCCTCCCTGTCGCTAGCACAAGCATGTCCCTGTCACCAGCTGCCACGTGTCAAGGATGTATGTATGGACATGTGTGTAGGGGGAGTTTCTATCCCAGATGTCTACCCCCTTCCCAGTCCACAGGCTGACTCCAGGGGTCCAAAGGGCAGGCGGTCTGGCAGGAGGGCTCACCACCCACCCCCCATCACCAGCGTCAGTTTCTCCAGGCCCAAGGTCCCGCAGGGGACCAGAGTCAGGGAAGGGGCCCAGGGGAGGCTGAGGGGGCAGCAGGCAGCTGCCTTTCTCTTCCCTGCATCCATTTGTCATGAGATCTATTTTCCTCCCTTTGAAAGGGAGTGAGGGGGCTGGGCTGCTGAGTGGGCACAGCTGCTCCGCCCTGCAGCTCCTCTCCTCAGAGGACATGGAACGTACCCTCCCCACCCTGCAGCACTGCCACCGGGAGGCAGAACAGAGCGGGAGTGAAGGAGCCTGAGACCTGGCTTCTCAGCCGCGTTGTGCAGCCACCTGGCCCTGTGACACTGGGCCAGTGCCCAGGCCTTCAGACGATAATAACCCCACCATCAGTACCACTTGCTGTTTTGGGGGATTGTTACCACAAACTGAGTGCTAAGTGCTTTACATAACTCCAGTTTCTACCCCTTAAACACTAATAAAGTGCCAGGCAAGATGCTAGCTACTTTGCATACATTATCTGTAGCTTCCGGCACAACCGCAGGAAGATGGATGCTATCATTGTCTCATCTGTCAGAGAAGAAAGATGAGGCACCAGGCATCAAAGCCACTTGTCCAAGTTCATTCGTACAGCTTGGAGCCGGCTAATCCCTGAGACGCAACCCAGCCGACGCCAGTTCACGCGACGCGGCTCTGCCTGCCAGAGTTAGCGCTCTGAGCCTCTGAGCTCAGAGGAAAGGAGGAGCTGGGGTGATGGGGGTTGCAGGGGACTTCATAGCCTCAGCTCCCCGAGCCCTCTCCTCGGGCCTCTGTCAAGGCCTGGTCAGCCCTGGCAGCGGGAAGCCTGGTCAGTCAGCCTAACCCACTGGCCAGGCCCTGCTCCCCTCACAGGCAGGGCCGGGGCGGGGCAGGCCACAGCCGGAGGGCTGGTCAGTCCCACTCTGAAACCACTTCCTGGGCAGCCCAAGGGAAGTGAGCCTCCGGAAACACCTCGGATGGACAGATCTCTCCCTGGGCCCAGGCCTTGGAAAGTGTACAGACCGCCCTGGGAGAAGTACCCTGCTTGCCTCCCAGTCGCCAGAGCCCAGCAACTCTGCTGTGGGCACTGACACTGTGGGGACAGAGGAACTGATTGGACCCCCACCCACCTTCGAGCACCTTAGCCCCATGACCACAGGCAGCCCACTTCCTCCTCTGCGGCAGCAGCCACAAACGGTGCCAGCACAGCTGAAGTCGTCCCCCATCGTCCCTCCCCCCACCCCCTACTGAGTCCTGGTCAGCCGGTGGGTGGGGGGTTGGTCTGGCCCAGGTGAGCAGGATGGCTAGTGAATGCCTGGGCAGGCAGAGCCCACCTCCTGGTGTGGCCCAGCCCCCTGGAGCACCTGTGGTCACAACCACACCTCAAACCTCACCCTCAGTGCCAGACGCAGGCTGGGTTGTGACCCTGACCAAGGACCCCGTTTCCTGACCCAGGATGGGCAGTGTGGTGTGTGTGGGCAGGCTTCTGAATGCAAGGGTGACTGGCCGAGCACCCGAGTGCATGTTTGAGCATGCCTGTGGATGTGTGTGCGCATGTGTGGTGTGTGTGTGGGCACTTGAGGGTGTGCAGGCCTGGGCGCAGAGGGCAGCTCAGTTTCTATATCCCTGTGTGAGCATATCTGTGTCTGCGCCGGCTGGGAGGTGAGGTTTGAGCTTTGAAAGTGGGCTGGCTCCAAGACTAATTGGTTGAATTTCTTAGGGAATGAGGCTCAGTGCTGGGAGTGGGTGGGTCCCTGACCTCAGGTAGCAGAGGCCTCCAGCCCGCCAAGGACACGTCACCTCCTCCCCTCACCAGGTTTGATGGTAAGTTGAATAAACAGCAGACCCAATGATGACCCTCCCCTTGTTTAGCCCCCACTCCCATCCCAGGAGCCAGGGCCCTGCCCTCCTGCCCTCCTGCCCTCCTGCCCTTTTTCCCCTCCAAGTTAAGCTCTGAGAGCACAGCCCCCACTGATCTATTCACCACCACCCCCCACCCCTGCTGCCCCCCGAAAACCTGTAGATACCAGTAGGGGCGGGAGTGGGGCAGTAGGGGCAGGAGCAGGGGTTGATCAGGGAGGCCTCCCTGAGGAAAGACCACCTTTGCCACCCCTCCCCACTGTCACTCCCTAGGTTCCAAGTGCTCTCAGCAACCCCCCCTCAATCACACCCCAGAATCTTATCCACTGAACTTTGGACATTCGATAGGTAACTCTCAGGGCTGTTTTCGTTATAATGAGGGCAGACGGAAGGAGGTCTGGCCCCAAAAGGAGGAATCTTTAGCTTTATAAGGAGCCTGAGAGAGTGCAGCCTTCCCCAGTATTACTTAGAGACTGCCTAACTCACCCAGAATCTGGAGGCTGGGGAAGAGAATTGTGTATCTCTCCTTCACCCCAGAGAAGATGGGCAAATGAGGGAACTGGGATGTGGAAAAGAACTCAGGAGAGACCTCATCCCATTCTCAGTTTGGTGTCCAACCCACTGTGGGGCCCAGGGCAAACCTCAGTTTCCCTGTGAGATGATGAGAACAGCCTGAGGCAGAGACAAGAGGCCATAGAAAAGCTGATACATCCACCCTGAACCCTTGGCACATGCCCCTCCTTCTTTCTGACTAGCAAAATGTCACCCCTCCTCACCCCAGACGGCCGGTGGGCCCCAGGCCTCTGAGCTCCAAGGCCACAGTCTTCCCTGGGCCAAGAGCCAGTGTCAGGCAGGGAGCCCTCATAGGCAAGGCCAACTGCTGCCCGCTCTGGGCACCCAGGCCCCTCACTCAACCCAGGGACTCTGTGTGACCCTTCCCCTACCCGACCCAGCCCCAGCCCCAGCAGATGGGGAGGAGCCCAAAGAGGAAGGCCACCCTGGCACACTGTCCATATGTCCATCTGTCTAGGAGGATCCAGTCTTACCTGGGGCTCCTGGCTCCCCCTTGCCCTCAGTCCTGGCTCCTGCTGCGGCCACCGCCACACTACCACCACCAGAAATAGGTCCACTGCCCTCACCTGGGCCAGTTCCAGGCAGACCTGCAGGAACAAGAGGCAACAGCTGAGCTGGGAGGCACTGCCAAACAGGCTTTCCCCATCAGTCAGCCCCAGAACGACCAACGCAGGCCCGGCTCAGCCCCATCTGGCTCTGAGGCCTCAGCCTCTTTGGACCCAGTTTTCTCTTCTGTGAAGTGGAGTGTTGGGCCCAACTTCTCCAGGGCACCAGCCCCATGTCCTCTCCACGCTAGGGGTTGGATCGCTGTGTCTCAGCCCTCAGAGCATTTCCAGACTACAGACGCAGCAAGAAAGCTCCCACTGTCCGCCCGAGGTTGTCCTAATCTTCCTGTCTGCAAGAGGTTGCCCTATGACTTAGGAGACCTAGTGGCAATTGGGGGAGCCACTGCTCTGTGGCCTGGGGTAATTTCCCTGAGCCTCAGTTTATCTTATCTTTAAAATGAGGAGACTACATCTCTCCAGGTGGTTCTGAGGCCCCAGTGATGCGGCATGATATAGCTCCTGTGCTAGACTCACCTTGGGAGTACCAAATGAATAGTGACATTTTTAAAAAAAATGTTTATTTATTTATTTTGAAGGAGGGGGCAGAGAGAGAGAGGGAAAGAGAGAATCTTAAGCAGGCTCCACGCTGAGCACGGAGCCCTACGAGGGGCTCGATTCTGAACAAGGAGATCACGACCTGAACTGATATCAGAAGTTGGATGCTCAACCAACTGAGCCACCCAGGTGCCTCATGACACTTTTTTATTCTTTGTTTTACACCTTTTAGCTCAGGTGATTCTCACATTAATATTGTGCCCATTATACAGCTGAAAAAACTGAGGCCCAGAGAGATCCTAGAAGGAAGGAATGGCAATGGCAGCAAGGTGTCCCAGGTCTCCTGGCTGAAAGGCCTGGGCCTCCACAAAAGATTCCTCTCCCCAAGATGTGAGCTCCTCCTCCCACTGAAGACCCCCATCACTGCTCCCTAGGGACTGAGGCATCCTCAGGTTTGTCTGTACTTTATTTCTAATTTGAATTTAAACTCCAATTAGCTGTGGCAGCTAAATGGTGTCAGCATCCTTCAGTCAAGCTCCAAATCACCGCCCCCTCCCCCCCCCCCCCCGAGCCCCTTCTTCCCCATCAGTGTTGCTGAGACTGGGCAGGTGTCAAGTGGGCTGAATAAGGCTGCTGGGGTCTCTGCCAGCCCTCAGCCCTTCCGAAAGCAGTCTGGTAAAGGGCATGGGAGGGGGCACCAGACACATCACAGAAAAGAAACCGGGTGGGGGACTATCTGGGCTTTTATTAGCCCAGCTCTCAGGAAAATGGAGACCATAGAGTAGGCAGCGGGGAGTGGTCTCCAAATAAGACTTAGCTATGCGCTGAGCTCTAACAAGCAAGCCTGTGTTAGAGGACTGTTGACACAGGACCTCAAGTCCTCACAGCAACTTTCTCCGTTCTGCAGGTAAGGGGACTCAGCCTTAGAGAGGCCTAGCCCCAGTCATGCGCCCATAAGAGGCACAGTGAGTATTTGAGCCCTAGGTCTTGGTCACAGCACTGCAAACCCAAAGACTTGCCCTCGGGTATCCTTCAACTTGGGGGAGCAGAGGAAGGCAAGAGATAGAGGCCTTCCCCAACTCCCCAGGAACCAGGGCTGGCCTTGAGATGCCCCGTGCACATCCACACCCTCACAGCCTCCCACATGCTCACACACACTGGGGCTCTCACCTTCCCACCCAGCACTGTCACCTCGGGGCGCAGGCACCACACTCTCAGTTCCCTACAATCACAGGGACTCCCTAGCACACAGACTGGCAGTTTCATACAGTCAGACTGTGAGTCTCCCACCAGTCACACACTCAACAGTCTCGCCCAGCCACAGTTCTGAACACACCAGATCCCTTATACCGGCCTATAGCTAGGTATAGCTGTCCAAACACCTCTACATCACACACACACACACACACACACACACACACACACACACACAGGACTGCCCTCTACCGGCCTGTCCACCGCACCCCAACTCAGTCCACAGCAGGAACAAGGAAACTCAAGGGACCAGTCCCCTCCCTTGGTGACCAGGTCAGCCTGGTCACAGAGGCTCAGTAGCAGAGGGAGAGGAAGAACGAGTGTTACACACATACCCACACTCAGACACACACATGAGCCTGGTGGGCTAACACTCTAACACAGGCTCCCAAAACTAACAGCTCAAATGTATTTGGCCAGTGGGTCACCATGGCACACCCAGTGTACAACATAGGACTGTCCAGACACACAAGGGACACATAGGCACACAAAGACACACACACACCCCAACACATTGACGGGAGTCTGGTGATAAAGAACACACCAAGACATAGTGCACACAGAGTTGCGAAGGGCACACAGAGCCTCAGGACACACAGACATACACACATGTACATAGGGAAGGCACACAGGTGGGAAAAGACCACAGAGGCAAGTTCCAGACACAGTGACAAAGAACACACAGGCAGACACAGACACACAATGTACCTACATGTCCAGATGCAGGCAACTCATTACAAGGAGTCAAGTCCAACCGTATAGGGTAGGGACCAGAGGAGAAGGGGATGCTCTTACGCACAGCAAATCCTTCTGACCAGGTGTGAGTGGGGGGCTTAGTGGGGCTCTCCCTTCTCACGGGAGGAAATGAGAGTCAGAGAAGTAGGACAGTTCTGACGGTGCCCACCTCCAGCCTCTTCACCCCGAATCTCCTCCACTCTCTCCCCTCACCTGGCCGGGACCCACGGGGGGAGGGGTGGCGTCTGAATTGCGGAGGGGCTAGGACCGACGGGACCTGGAAGGGGCCTCTAGGCGAGGGGGCTCAGAGGGGCGGAGGGGTGGGGCGGTCAGGGGGATGGTGGAGACTGGAGCCACGCCCAGCCGGAGACAGATGGAGAAAGACCGAGAGAGACACCCAGACTGAAAGGAGAGAGCGAGCGAGAAGGAGGCGCCGCTCCGGCTGGGCCGGGCAGGGACCCAGGGGCGGGCGGCGAGGCAAGGCAGGCGGCCTGGCTTCTGCTCCGCGGTAGAAAAGGAGAGGCGGCGGGACCGGCAGGGGGCGACGAGCGTGGGTTGGGGGCGCGGCTCTGGGAGGACGGGATCCAGGGGCGGCGGGAGGTGCGGTGGGGGTGGGGCACGCGGAGGTCTAAGGACAGACAGATCAAGATTAGGAAGACGCGGACGCGGGAACACAAGAGGGGGTGGGGACAGATGGACCGACCGAGGGCCCCAGGGAATCGACGGGGACGGGCGGACGCTCGGAGGGTCTAGGGACATACTGGCGGGTAGAGGGGCCGGGAGCAGACCAACGAGAGGGCCTCGGCCCGTACCGCTGAACGGAGGGACAGACCGACGGACCGGGGACGGAGGCACCGGCGGGTCTCGGAGCGCGGCGGGGACTTTCGCTGGCCGCGGCTCAGTTTCTCAGTTTTGGAAACGAGAACCGGATTGGAGAGGGGGAAGGGAGGGGCGGCGCGCCCTAAGGGTAGCCCGGCTCCCTCGTCCGGTCCCGGCCCTCACTCACCTCCCGCGCACCTCCAGGCGCCAGGGGTCTCGACGTCTGGGGACCAGCTCCCTGCTCCGTTCCGGGGCGCGCGCGAGGACTGGGGGTCGATGCGGGCCCGACCGGGACGGGCCCGGAGGCCGCTGAGTCCCGTCCGGGCCTCAGCGCGGCGGGCGGATGCCGAGGGTCGCTCCGGGGATCCCGGTGCCGCAGCCTCCCTCTCTCGAGCCGCTGCACACGGAAGTGCAAGGGGGCGGGGCGGCGCGACCTCACCCAGGTGCCTGCCACGGCCCCGCCCCCGCTCAGGGCCCGCCTTCACAAGGGCCAGCCCCCTAAGGCCCCGCCCCCGCCGCGGAGAGGAGGGGGTCCCGGCCTCCGCCTCCCGGTGCCGGTCACTCTCGGCCGGTCCCGGCGCACCTCGGCCCCTGCCAGACCTTGGCGCGCGTACCAGCTCTCAGAAGGGGCGCCACTTTACAGAGGAGGACAATGAGGCCCGCGGGAGGAGGACGCTCTCCCAACCCCCCCACCCCATTCTCCACCCCTCTCACACCGTAGCCTGGGAGGTGCCGGCGGGGCTTCCCCAGCTCCCAGCGCCCACGCCCGGGACTCCCCACCGGCCAGCTGGCCCGCCGCGCCCGGTCTCTCTCTCTTTCTCTCTCTCTCTCTCCCCCCCGCCCCTTTTTGTCGGTGGGAGTGCAGACGCGGCTGGGCCCGGTGCCTGCTGCCAGGCCGGCTCGTCCCGTCCCTGGCCCTGAGAGTGGCTGAGAAAGCTCCAGGGTGGGAGGCTCTAGCTGGTTCATCACTGCTGGTCGAGAGATTCCAGGAGCAGCCCCTATCCTGACCCCTCAGCTTTCTGCTCTCCTGCCCCCACCGTCCATAGCTCCCCACCGCCCCTAATAGGCATCTGAGCTTCCTTCCACACTTGAAACTTGGTTGTCAGGCATAACTCATTCATTCACTGGGTACCCTCTGGGCCTAAAGTCTGGGGATGGTGAGGGACCCAAGGAGTCCATTCCCTTGCCTTCAAAGCTCAGAAAGGAAAGAGCTGACGACTCCATACTCCAAAGAAATGTCATTTTCCAGAGGCAAAGAAGAGGGTTCCAGGTCCCAGACCTTCCAGGGGAACACCTAGACAGCTCTTCCCTGCTGAAGCCTAATGATTGGAAATGAGGGGCAATTCCTGAGGAGGCCTGAGTTGATCCAAGGGGCTCATGGCAGAGACTTTGGTTTTCTCAAGGAGCAGGTGGTGGCAGCTGTTACACTGGAGTGGCCTCCTGGGAGAATGGATAGGGACAGAGGCTGCCACGTTGTGCAGGTTGGAGGACCCTGGGTTGTGAAAGATGTATGGGGAGAACAGGACAGACCAGGTGGGTCATGGGGCTGTGGTTAGATTGGGAGGAGGAGGTGTTTAGTGAGACCTCCAGGGATGGAGAGCCCTGGCAGAGATGTGGATCCCAAAACTTTGTTTTAAGGGGGGTGGGTTTAGACTGGAAAGAGAAAAACTACAATGACTCTTTTTATCACAGAGCAAACAGGGACACAGGTATCCTATACCTGGAAGAGAGGGCCTATTTTGAGAACTGGTTTATGTCCATGTTTGTAGTCCTATTGCCCCATTGGGGTAGGCTTTTTCCACCAAGCTGGACCCCTCTGACCACACTGGATATCATTTGGAAAATAAACCTTATGCCTTACCCCTCACAACAGGACCTTTGAACATTCTATTCTCTGGGCCCCGAATGCCATTTCCCACCCACCCCCATGTCTCTACCTGTCTTGGTTGTGTCCACTCACATGACACTCCTCCCTGATGCCCAGCTGTGAATCCATGGTACTTCCCTGAGCTAAGGGAACGTATTCATTAGTGTGTTTTGTGTCCTCATTCTCTCACCCCCACCCCACCCCCATGGCTTCCCTGGAGTTGGGCTGGAGGGAAGGTGAGCTTCAGGTGACTTTTGTCCACCCGGGATCAAGTTTCCTTTCCGGTTCCTCCCTCCAGGTCTACCTCGGCAAGTATTCTCTCCCTCAGCATCAACAGTAGGTCCACCCTGTACCAAGGACTGCTGGAGAGAGGGCAAAGGAGGGTTGACCCTCGGGGATCTCCAGATCCAGCCACAGGAACTTTGCTCCCACACCCTGAGGTTCACCTTAGAAAATGGAAAGGAAGAATAATGGCTATCACTAATGGAGCTTCCCCAGTGCCAGGCCCCGTGCCCAGTATTGGATATGTTCAATTCAATCAGTTCTCAGACCCTATAAGGTAAGGGTTACTGTTAGTGTCACTTTGAATGAAGAGCAAACTGAGTCTCAAAGAGAAGCAAGGCCACTTGCCCAGGGGTACAGAGCTAGTGAATGGTAGAAGCAGGATTCGAACCAAAGTCTGCCTGGCTCCAAAGCCCATGTTTTATGTCCGGAGTTCTCAATCTCAGCACTATTGCCCTTTGGGCCAGATAATTCTTTGTTATGAGGACTGTCCTGTGCCTTCCAGGCTGTTTAGCAGCATGCCTGCCCTCTACCCACTAGATGTCAATAGCACTCCTCTCCCTCAAGTTGTGACAGATAAAAATGTCTCCAGACACTGCCAAATGTCCCTGGGGCAGGGAGAGGGGCAGGGGAGCAGGCAAAATCACACCTTGTTGAGAACCAAGGCTTTAGAGCAGGGCTGGTATTGTGAGAGCAAGAAAGATTGAAATTAGACACCAGGAAGTACTTTCTGGGCCCTGAGGATTATGCAGACACGTGGGCTCAGGGGCTGTGAGCACACACTGGCCTCAGCCAATCTTTCTCTTCTGGAGACTTCAAGGGGAAGTGTGATAACCAAAAAGGGGCAGAGAGGCTAAGGCTGTGCAGGCCACACTGTGACAAGGGCAGAGGAAGGATACAGAGACAAACGCTGCGACCAGGGGCCCCAGAGAGAATAAGCTTGGGTGGGGTCTAGGGAGTCCAGACCAAAGTCAGCTGGAGCCACTGTGCATGGTGGAACTGTTCCTGGGTGCCACACTGGGTGGGCCAGGGCAGGGTCCATGAGAGCTTGCCTCTGTGCCCTCATAACCTGCCTGCTCCAGGCCTTCAAAGGGCCTACTGAGGCCTGGAAGATAGCCTTGGCTGTATCACATGCTAACTGTATGACCTGAGGCAGGTGACCACACCTCTCTGATCCTGAGTCCTCACCTGAAAAAGGGGCTGATGACAGACTCATGTCAGGGGCTGAGTAAGGGTTAGGTGAGATGATGTGCGGGAAACCTCAGCCAGGGTGGACACCTGGTGAGGGCTCAGCTCACACTGGCCAGGGGCACAGGTATCATCACTTTGCTGAGTCACAGGCTGTCAGCCTTGGAAGAGCCTTTGATGGCCTCTCATGACATAGGGTGTAAATCCCCAAGCAGGGCTGGGCCCATGGCAGCCACCAGGAAGTGGTACTTTCTCTTCTTCCTCCTCCGGGTTTGCAGCCAAGGAAACAGGCCCATCACAGATAGTGGTGGACAGCATCCAGTCTCCTACCCCCAGCATCCGCCCAGGGCTAGTTCTCTGTGGATTCCCTAGAGGGTTTGTCCAGAGGAGGGCTAGCATGACCAGTGCAGCCCCTACCCCACCCATAGACCATGAACCCTGGGGGCCCCCAGGCCCCTCTGCAGGAAGTCCAGGACTCAGCCAAGCAACCTAGAAAAGGCCTAAACCTTCTGTCCCTGGGGCCCACCTACCTGAGGGCAGGATAGGGTCCCCCCCACCCTTGATCCCTGCCAAGAGTTGGTCCTTGTCCTGGCCTCTCTGCCTCTCGCTCTCTGTTTCTGCTTCTCCGTATCATCATCCCCATCCCTGAAACTTTGGCTGCCAGCACCATCCTCATCACACCCAGAGTGCTGGCCTGGCCAAGGTAGAGTCACTCATGTTTCTGGAGCAGGAGGCCCGGGCCGGCAAGGGTGTTGCACCTGGGTGATTTCTGGGGATGGCAGAGCAGTTGGGGGATGAAGGTTGGAAGGGCACATGGGACATGGTCCAACCTGTGGCTATACCTCAGGCCACCAAGATGGTCATGAGCAGGGATTTCAGCCTCAGGCACTGGGTAGGGGGCAAGCAAGGGCAGTGAGTTTGGGAGCAGTGCCACATGGTAGTAGAGTGCCAAGCCAAGGCCTAGAGGGGTCAGGTTCACATCCTCCTCACACCCTGGGCCTGTGACTTAACTGTGCCTCAGCTTCCTCATCTGTGGAATGGAGATGATAAAGGTAATACTGGCCTGGTGGGTGGTTGGGAGGATGGGGAGACCAGGCTCACGGGGCACTAGGCATGAGACTCAGTCTGTGTTGGTGTTAACTGCCAAATAAAGAGTTGATGAGGCCCAGCTAATAGTCCCCAAGTTCTGTAGTCAGTATATTTGTGTTCAGGTGAAACTTGGGAAATACTTGGGAGTAGGCAAGGGGCAGGTGTTTTCTGAGAGCACGGGACACGGGGTTTTTTTCTGGAGCTATTACCGGTATGCAGCACCTGGCCTGCCCCAGTCCCACGTTGACCATGGCACAGCCCCTGCCTGCCTGAGTCCCCACTTCTGGCTCCACACCCAAAGGGGTGTGGAGGGGGGCTGGATAGACGTCCGTGCTGTCAGAGGCAGAAACAGAAGGAAGGCTTTTTCTTGACACAGAGACCCAAGGGAGCCTTCTCCACCACCTCCACCTCTCCTATCCCGCACACGCAACAGCACCCTCTGCTCTGATCTGCTGGGTCTCACACTAGGCTCTGACACCTGGGAGTCTGAGCAGCCCTGTCACCCACAGGGCTTGCCAGCCCCCTGGCCTGGCCATGCCTCAGTTTCACTCCACACACATACCCACCCCCCCAGCACGGGTAGCTCCCTGAACCCTTTAGCCCGTGGGGAACTGGAGGCAGGCCCAGCGCGGGAAGGCAGCCCTCTATGTAGGGAGGGTAGGGAAGAACCGCAGGCACACTGGCGTCCCCAGTGCGGCACAAACATCCCATCTCCACCCCGACAGCCACACGCGCCCCCGCAGGCACGTCTCCGCGCTCGGGTACCCACTGGCCGGGGCCCGGCCCCGCCCCGCCCCAGGGAAGCCTTTCCGAGGCCGGCCGGAGGCCCCGCCCATCCCCGTGACGTGAGCCTGGTATAAAAGAGACGGCTCTATTCCGGGTTGCGCAGCCACCTGGAGGTTGGACTGGCGCCGACACCTGGGCCCCGGCGCCGGGCGGCGCCTTCTCCTAGCCCTTCCCCGCTGCCGGCTCAGTCCCGGAAAGTC